CTACCCACAGAGAGCCGACCCTGCATACAGCAAGTCGCCGTTCGCTGGGTCGCCGCCCGTTAGGTCGCCGCTGGCTGGACTGGTTGCCGCTGGTTACACAGTAAACCAGTCTTCCCCGTCGTATTCACGCGCCAAGCCCTCAGGCACACGACCTGCGGCAAGGACCGTCCGCACTGCCCAAGACGCTGCTCGCCGCCAGATGGATCGCCCAACCCACGGAAGCCCACTGAAGGGTTACAGTCCGCTGAAGGGTTACAGTCCACTGAAGGGCTACAGTCCACTGAAGGGTTACAGTCCACTGAAGGGTTACAGTCCACCGAAGGGACACAGTCCACCGAAGGGACACAGTCCACCGAAGGGACACAGTCCACCGAAGGGACACAGTCCACCAAAGGGGCAGAAGGGAGTTCCGGTCACGCCGAACTGTGACCGAGGTCGTCCGGGGATAGCCAGTCGAGAGGTGACCGGCCGAATGGTTAGCCGACAGCTCGATCTCCGTCAGGCGCTTTCGGCGCATCAACTCACTACTTCGGAGCATCTCGTTCCAATGATAAAAGATCGAAATGACCCCATGCTGGACAAGTTACTCCGCATCCATCGTCACGGGCCGACGGCGCGCCGAAGCAGTCGTTTAAGTCACCATTCAAGTCACTATCGCTCCAAGTCATCGCCAGAGATAAACTGGGGTGGAGGCCGGCCCACGCTACTGCAAGGGAAAGGGAGTGAGACAACTAGAGTTCAACGACCCTCGATAGATCCAGGTGAAAACTCTGTGGACGGGGTCGAATTGCGATCTGATCTCCAGGAGAATGACTTCTCTGATATCCGGCTCAAGGACCCCCAGATCAAGGAACCTCTCTTGGAGCAAAGCACCACTCGCAGTGGTCGACACGCTCTGCTTCCCAGCTGCGACTGCTCTCCAGCTACAACACAACCTCTTCTTAGTTCTCCTCGTATTTACAGCTCTCCGAGAATCCCTTCGAATGCTTGCCGCAAATTACCCGAGGGCTTCCTACCACCCGATACCGATCTTGAGACGAGACCTGGTCAGAGCAACAGCCCGAGCAACCAGGCTTGCCCCACTGACCAAATCAGTCCCCCTGCTAGGAGTCGGTTTACCCTACCACCGGGCGTCAACAACGCTGAGCCCTGGCGGCGTAATTCTACCTCAAAATTTCCGGACAATAATGTACGGGACAATAATGTACGGGACAATAATGTACAGGACAATAATGTATCGGACGCTACTAACATTGCCGGCTCCAATCAAATATTCGGCTCTGACAATGTGCCTGTGGTATCGAACGGGTTTGAATTATTGGGTGACAGCATGGCCGAGAAGCTCATGTTGGAAGAAGGGAAAGGACTATCAAAGCACTGCGACGGTTCAGAGACTCTGTCGCCAAGCGAAATCCTTCCACGGAGCTGCTGTATTCGAGAGCGGAGCGACATAATTGCAGTCGTCGGTTCATGTGGTGGAGATGTTTCCAGGAACGAGGTTGGTGCTCTTACCGGTTCGGGAGCGAGGTCGGTTCATGTGGTGCAGGATGATATTGTCGACAGAGAGTCCATATTTCAGGACGACGACGATGAAAACCATGGGGGCGACAGCCATAGTAGCAGTTTGCTGTTGCCCATTGGTTTCCCTTTACGGATTGAACTACCGATGCGACATGGCTGTGACGTGGATTTGAGGTCTGTCGGGTATGAGCACGTAACGTTTTTAGCTGAGGGTAGCCTTGGCCGTTTGCATATCGTGAAATCTACTGACGATGAGGTAGCCCTATGGGTAGCCAAACTTGTGGATCTGACCTTGTTAAGGGAGCCGTCTGAAGCTACACAAGCCTTATTAGAAGCTGAGTTATTACGACGCTTACGTCATCCTAATATCGTGGAGTATGCTAACAGCTTTATTTTAGATGATTTTCTAGTAATAATTATGGAATACTGTACCGGTGGAGATCTTCATAGCTACCTACAAAAGAAAAGAGACCGTGATGAGGAGGTTCCTGAACGACAAGTATTCGAATGGGTCCGGGATATCTGTGCGGGACTTCGATTCATGCATTGCAATAATGTGTTGCACTGTGATGTTAAGAGTTCTAATGTATTTCTGGACGGTAAAATGACTGCAAAAATTGGGGACCTAGGTATCGCAAAGGAGATTCGTAGAGGTGCCAGAGCTCTCAGCCCTCTGAGATGTCCTAGAGGGACACCTGTATACATGTCACCTGAAATGTGTCAAAAAGAAGCGTTAACCGAGAGATCAGATTGCTGGGCCGTCGGCTGCATTGTATACGAGATATGCAACTTGCATCATGCTTTTGCTAGCAATCTTCACCCAGCAGATAATGATTCTGTCTTAAGCAACAACTCAGGAGCTACAGCTGCCTTCCTTCCTGGTGTCACCAACAGATCCGATCTGAGTCTGGCCTGTAAAAAGATGCTTAAAAATATCAAAGGTGATCTAAAAAGAATTAAGAAATCTAACGTTGGCAATTGTAAGTGATACACACATGTATGTGCACGATACACATGTATGTGCACGATACACATGTGTGCCAATGTTGTAACACCTTCCTCGAATTTCAGTTGATAGTCGTGCGCTAAAGCACTTGGAACCCCAACAAAAGCACTTGTCTTATTGGAGCAAGAACTCAGTGTCTTTTCCTCAAGTGCTTCCTGATCGGTACTGCCCATTGCTGAATTATATGGTCTGTGCTATGCTCGAGCCTCAGCCAAGTGATAGACCCACATTAACGGAGGTAATACAGTTGGCAGAAGCCGCTCTCGTGGAACACCGTAGCATTTGTGAACACCATTGTGATGTAGATGATGATTTAGATAGTATACCAGAGGAGCGCACTCCTGAATCAGATAGATAGTAAGTAGTGTAAAAGAGGGACGTACATTGTGGGGATGGGAGGTGGGTGGGTAAGGGGACATGGCTTGTAGGGTAAGGAGGATCGCGACTTTTTTGAATAAAAGTGAATGGTGTTTGGCGAGTGCCTTACGGGTTGTGCTAACAACTTTCGAAGGACGGAGACACTCAGAACCGACAGTGGAGGGAGAACAGTCCCTCGCCACCCCTCGATTTGGGGCGGCATGACGGGCAATGACGACGACCTCGTTGATAACGAGTACGACGATGCTTTTCACGCGAGGGAGCATACTCGAGTAGCAAATAATATGCCTGTTGTACCACTGAGAGCCTATCGTCGAACTGCTTCCCGAGAACAGGCGCAACACAACATCCTTAAATCCTCCTCCTCATTAAGCGTTGTGGACAGACGGCAGTCACGACTTTGGTCGCGGTCACAGTTGGATTTGCACACTGCGACTTTGGGGATAACCAACAGACATCAACGAAAAGAGATACGTTCCATGTGCTCCGAACGGGATGAATTGCGAAACCAGATTCAAAATATGACCCTCGAATACAATGACTTATGTCGACAGAATGAAAGTGACGCAGAGACTAAGAGGCAACTAGGTGCCGAAATCGCAGTTCTGATGGCCTATAGAGATGTCCTTGAGAGAGAGCAAATAACAGCAAAGATCAGACACCAGTTCTCTCAATCTGAGAACGAGACTAACCGAAGGACGATAGAAGAAGCCAAGGCCTGTGTTGGAGAGTTGCTCAAATCCCCTACAAGATATTCGCTTGGCCGCCCCACAACTCGATTCACTAATCAATCTCCATTATGTAGCACAACGCCCGTAATTCGGACGGACCACATGGGTGATGACCACATGGGTGACGACCACATGGGTGATGACCACATGGGTGATGACCACATGGGTGATGACCACATGGGTGATGACCACATGGGTGACGACAACCATTTAAATGTTGACCGCCGGGCGACTGGCAACCACCAGACGACTGGCTACCACCAGACGATCGGCTACCACCAGACGACTGGTTGCCGTCGTCCATTGAGTAGTTGTGATGAAGTCCGAGACACACAGGACCGGTATCCGTTAACGGCATTGACTCGCATCAGCCCCCAGGCATTTGTAGGCGAGACGAGCTCGGCGAGTTGCATAGAAGATAATGAACACGCCGTTGTTCCCGACTGTGACTCACTAAACGCGAATACCCCACCAGCAAATGTCTATGTAACCTGGCCAAACGTTCCGCTACAGCGTGATTGCACGAGTCCGTTTTCGTTGTTACCAGCGTTTAAGGGACAGCTATCATTCGGGGTGCGAGGAGCGTTAGTTGAAGCTCCCAAGGTTTTAAGTGCTGTTGATGTATCGAGCGTAACAGAGTTATGGACTGTTCTACGAGAGCACTGCTCCACTGGCAGGCCATTGGACGACTTGCGGCTCCGTGCCGGGACTGAGTCGGGTGGCAGGCGGGGAGATGTCGTTGACATAATCCGAACTAAGATAGAGGAGCTACCAGAGGGAATGGAACCCCCCGTTAATAATATCAGTTTACCTGCGTTATGGTCCTTCCAATGTGACCCAAAGAGTACCAGGACATATGCCATGTCGACGGATCGTGTGTATGTGGCGGGTGTTAACAGCCCAAAAGGAGCTTTCATTGTGGGGCAGAACGTGGTCATCGTCCGTCTGGGCGATTTGCGAGAGCGTAATGCTTCGTCGGGGGCCAAGGTGCAGCGACACGGCGTCACCGTCAAGAATATGGGAGAGTTGGCAATACAGGCCCTGGTCGGTTCATTCAAGTCGGAATTCAACCCGTCGGTCTGTGGAACTCAGGAGTTCCGCGACTGGACAGCCGGTTTCCCATTGCGACTCCAAGACGGAGTCCAACTCCGGGTGGGACGCATCGAATACTTTGCAGATATTTGCAGATGGCGACCACGCATTTCTTACGACGGAACGGGAGGGGTCAAATCCGGGACATTCACCGTCACTCTGAGACGACTGACCGCGTCCCTGAAGAAGCGCAAGGATTTTCTGAGCGTGGTGACCAGCTATTTGAATGGAGTCCACTGTGGAATAAAATGCTCCAGTCGCGAAGAGAAAGAGTCATTAGAAAGCGAAGTCGACAAGCTGCTGAGACTACTAGACTCGCAGGAAGAACTTCGAAACCTCGCCCTGTTTAATAGCTAGCTAGATTAAGACGCGACCTCCTCAGGTCTCCTACAATAAAGATTAAGCGGGTGGTATTTCAGATGGGTGGGAATAAATTAACGGGTGACCTCGGGAGACCAGAATGCACCTGCCAGCGTGCCTCCGGTGTTTGGGCGAGGTTGGTCTGAATTCCGCGGCTGGCAGCTCACTCTTGTATCCGCAACAGGTCGACGTGCGGGACCACGTAATACGGCGGGGGGCGGCAATGGTGAGGGCGTATACTGTGGGTGCCTGCGGGTTCCCCTGCGCCGTGAAGGCGATCCGGCGACATTTAGTGATGGTGACGGTGCAAGGGTTCGTGGACGCAAGACGTGTGACGTCGCCGGCGGACGAAAAAACTACGTTGCCCCTGCCGCGGGAGGAGGCTGATGCACCTCTCCTGCAAGTGTTGATAGAGCAGCGCTATACTGGAAATGAAGTAATCATTGCTACGAGAAGTCAGAAGGCACTCCGTGCATATGTTCTTTGCCTCCCGAAAGTGAAGGGGAAACTCACCACCAACGGGAAACTCAACGAGAAACGTCATGAGGACGAGAAAGATCATGAGGACGAGAAAGATCATGAGGACGAGAAAGATCATGAGGACGGGACACGTAGCGAAGACACAGACAAGCCAAGTGTGCACCTTATCTTTAGTTATCCAATCGGGTCTGGTCCTTTGGCGGTGAGTATGGCACTGAAGCCTGGAGGCGAGGTTTATTGCGCGCTGTTTTCTGACGACACCATTGTAGTGTGGAATTTAATTGAGCAAGAGGTTCTAAGAAGGATCAAACTAAGAAGGGAGAAGATCAAGGAGATGACGCAGCGTGACAGGTATCGTGAGACTTGTCGACGTCGCGTATGTCTTCCACAAAAGTGCTGGCATTGCACAGACTTGAGGTTACGTGGTTTGGCCGGTTCGCTCGATGAGGAAAATTCTGCGGGAGTGCGTGCACTGAATAGCGAGGCATTCTGCGTAGTCAACTGGTGTGGAGACGACGAAGTATTACTGGGAGGGCGCAGCTTGTGGTGTTTGAATTTAGTTACGGGATTGACTACTAGTAGATGGCCGGCGACGATGAAGGAGGATCGTTACCGAAAACTTGTTCATTTCGACCCTACAGATGATTTCGGTATTACTGCTATTGGCCTTCATCCCAACGCACCTTGGTTAGTGGCTGTCGTGGCCTGTGCTACCTGCAAGGTGTACATCTTTGACATTCGGTCTCGTCCCTTGCTACCCCTAGCTACCTTACCCTTACCTGATAATTACCAGATGGCCGGCATCCATACTGAAGTCAAATGGGTCATGTCGTATGAAGCACTCTGGTACGATCTTCATCTCCGACTCATTTATAAACAACTTGCTCCAAGCTTCCCCTATAATCGATATTTCCGATGTCCAGCATCATTTCCACCATCGTTTCCAGTCCAGAAAAACAGAGGAAGCTTCCTGCTCCTTTCGGCAAACCAGAATGACGCCCAGGGACTGAAATTCATGACCCCGTATTATGCTATACCACCGCTGAATAAGCTCAGCGGATGGGCTGGCGATCATGACGATGAAATCGTGCCCTTTGGCTTCTGCTTGAATGAATATATGCCATGGTATTCCGGACAACATTACGTCGTCAATCTCATTCGTCCCCCAGGAGACATTGGTTTCTATAATGCTCTCAGATACAAGATCAACACCATCACCGAAATCGGGTACATCATACACTTAAAAAATACAATGCGCGAGGATATCGATGCGCGACCAACCACAGGAGCCAGAAAATGTGTTCACACTCTCTTGGAGTCCATTGATCGCTTATATGAGAGTCGATCACTAGCAGATCAATCGATCATTCCTGCTGAGTCCGCTAGCCGGATTGAGTTAACTCCACAAGATGCCACAATTGAAAATCCACATGATGATAGGTCACATGATGATAGGTCACATGATGATAGGTCACATGATGATAGGTCACATGATGATAGGTCACATGATGATAGGTCACATGATGATAGGTCGCATGATGATAGGTCACATGATGATAGGTCACATGATGATAGGTCGGAAGACGGTAATGTTGGGTCTATGATTGGAGAGACTCAATTTGACCAAATTTTCGGCATGACCCAGGACGAATTTGGTAGTGGACTGGTCAATGGGAATCGCGAAACCGGCAGTGGCGACGAACTTGCGGGGGTTGATGAACAGCTGGTGAGCGGTTGTCTAGGATCCTTGGATGCGATTTCCTTTCGACTGGACGACCACAGTTGGGCTGATAAATCCCTGGCGCCGAATCCTCTAACCATTCCCCGCGCTGTGTGCTGTTGCGGTTTGGATAACGATCCCATGTTTCACACGTACCGTCCACCTGAATATGCTGACCCTATCGGCCCCGTTAAAGGGACGTGGAAAATCGATCCTGCCATTGTGGGCCAACCGGTTCACACAGCAACCAGTGTCAGCCTGTTGTATAGACCACCACACGGGCAGTTCAAGAACAGCTCAACCGATCTCCTTGATTCAATTCTGGGAGTGGGGGAAGACGCGATTGGGGAACAACGGTCGTTTGCAACAGGGAAAGAAGAGGGGTCGTCCTCGTCGCAAGCGTCCGAGGCTGGAGAGGTAGACCGAGGAAATATATGCACGGCTGATCCAAGGCTGTGTCTGCGGGGTCCCTCGAGAGCGTCTAGAGGAGTGGTGAAGGATTTAACGGAAAGCGGCCCAGACCCGAAGTTCAGGTTGACTGTAGGCGGGTTGGGCTTGCGGATCAACGGCCATCTGGTTAATGCGGTCGTTGGCTCTTGGCCGGAGCAGTACAAACGATCATCGGCAAATTCGTTCACTCCCCTCCTGGTGAATGTGGAGGTAGGTACTGCAAAGCGTTGGGCTGAAATAAAGACAACCACGTCCGCGACGAATGTTATTATGGGCCAGACACAAGAGTTCGGGACGGAGGAACCAGATGAGGAGCAAGAGGGTGCTGAAGGCATAGGCGACGATGACGGTGATTAACACCTGGAGTGCTTTCGTGCGCTGGCGGGTTTTCTACTATCGGTTATAGCATGCCCTCCCTCGTTGGCCATTTTGTTGTTGTTGTTGTAGAATAAGTTGTAACCTGAAGCCATGTGTGTAACCTGAAGCCATGTGTGTAATCTGGAGAGCTGAAACCGGTTTAACAGTTTCGGCATGAGTGAGATAATGATTAGCGGCTATCCGGTCCGGTTATGCTGTCCGGTTCTCTGAGTGGTGACCTTGTTGGTGGCGGGCCGACTTACTCGGTGCACCTGCCCTAAGGCTACAGCGAACGCTTAACTGCGCACACACCCGCGCCGAGTAGCACACATCCGCATTCTATGAATAAATCTTTTCGCTCTATGAACAAGTCGGTTTCGGGCCTCACGGATGCTGCTGTTTTCTTTTTCTTTTTCTTTTCATTCAGCACTCACTACAGTACGGCATCTCGTCTGCGAGCCGGTATTTCTTGTCACACATCCACCGACACTTCGAACAACCTCTCACGAAACCATTCACAGCTGCCACTCGTTACGGAAACACTCTTCTCTTTACGGCATATTTTTAGATAGGTGAGTTAAGAGTTTTCGTAGAAAAGTGACGGTGCCCCCTCAGAAAGAACATTAGAGAGAAACACGATCACACGAATGAACCCAGACGAGGATCCGCGACAGGAGACCGTCAACAGCAGGCCGGCCCCGAAGCGTCCGCCATTTGTGCCCAAGGTCGTGAGCCTCAAGGGAGTGTTCGTGAAGATGCTCCAGGAAGACAATCGCAAGAGAGCAGCGGCTCAGCCCAGGATGGCAGCTCCCCGTCGGGGGGCCACACCCCCCC